CAAAAAGATTAAAAAGACAAGTTGGATTTGAAGATACAAAGGACCTGTCTGCATTGTCTTTACAACTATTTTTACTTCCTGTAAATCTGTCATCACTTCACAATAAAATGCTATATCACTGCCCGGAGAGCTTCGGCCAAGGCATAGGGAGGGGAGCGCAGGTGGAGCCAGTGAAGTCCCCGAGTTTCGGGATGGACTCAAGTGTCAGGACAACAAGCACCAGAGTGCCAGAGAGCAAGGGTGGCCCCACAAGTGTCCAGCAGAGGACCGCGCAGCACACACACACACACACACACACACACACACACGAGGAAATGCCCATGGGCAAGGACAGGGCACTAGGAGGGGGCACAGCTTGCCCCAGCTCACGGGTGCTCACCAGGCACAGCACTCGTGCCTTGTCACAGGACAGGGGGCAGTTCTCCTGAGCGAGCACTGAACACACCATAAAGGCACTGCCTGAAAGGAACAAACTGTCTGCAAGGGACTCAGCTGCATCCCGGAGTGAAATTCAAGATCTATGGGACACCCAAGTACCCAGCACCCAATGAGGCAAAGCCCACAGGCGGGCACCCAGCAAAGGCCACCAGCACGCAAAGGCCGAATCCATCCCTCGGTGAGGAGTAATCCGTCAGGTGTGGCTGACCCAGCACCGAGGCAAGAGCAGAGTTAGCAGAGAGGAATTAAACAATCACAGCAGGTTGTCTGGACGTGAAAACTTCAGTGTCCGAGGGGAGGAAGGCCTGGACTGGCAGACCAGACACTGCACAGAAAAGATCAGTGAGGCTGTGACACAGCAGTGGGACCACCTAAGACAAAAACGCATAGAAAATTCTTTAAAAAAGGAATGGCTTCTGTAAGCTGTGGAACAACATCAGCAGTTGAAGATTCAGGTAATTAAAATTGCTGAACAGGAGTAGGAAGAGGGGACAGAAAAAATATTGGTAAGGTAACGACTGAACAATTTTCAAACTTGACAAAAACCCACACATCCAAGACGCTTAAGACCCCTGTGCAGAAGAAGCCACTACACCAAGGCACACTGTAACAAAAAATTTCAGAAGCAGCCAGAATAGGGAGACATGTTGTGTACAGGGGAACAAAGACAACCACCAAATCAGGTTTCTCGAGAGAAAAGGAAATATCTGCTTATCCCAAGACATGCACACCAGACTGTCCAGACATCAGCTTTTTTTTGCAATAGCCCCAAACCGGAAACAATCCAAACGTCCATCAACAGGTGAACGGATAACTGGACTGTGGTCCAGCCACACTGTGACTACTCGGAATAAAAAGGAATGAACTGCTGGTACATGTGCCAACGTGGAGGAATCCTGGAACTGCTAGTGCCGCGAAAGAAGCCACATGAAACAGCACATACTGCGTGACTCCACTGACACTGGGAGGTGGCCTGTTGGGGACCTTTGCCTTCTCAGGGGATGGGATGAGGAGAAGACCCCCCAGGAAGCCATCCTTGACTACAACCATCAGTCACTGGGTGAGAGTAGGAAGGTGTGGACAGGAGACAGAGCAGCCCCGAGGGCAGGAGACAGAAAACATCTGTAAAGAGCCACACACGCCCCGGCCGGGGGGCTGGGCTGGGAAGGGAAGGTGGTCCTGGGGTTGGAGACACCCAGGTCAGCCCCACGCACATCAGTCCCCAAAGAGAAAAGGCTGGAGCCACGGGGACAAAGCTCGGGTTTGCCGACAGGCTGAACAATGTCACTAGAGTCACAGAACAGACTAAGCCACAGGCACCAGGACAAGAGGTGGAGAGAAAACCGCACAGGTGGAGTCACAGTGAAAGTGTAAGGGCTAACTTACCTTTAAGCGAATCACTAGAAATCCTTCAGGATAAAGACCTATTAGCCCCCAAACAGTAACCACAAATGTGCTTGTAATTCTGACCTGAAATACCAACCAACCAACCTAGCACCCAACTCAGAATGAAATCGTGGGAGTGGTCTGCACAGTGGCTGTGTTGGGGCATCACTGGCTGTTGGGGCACTGTGGGGGGGCAGGGGTCCCATTCTGTTTACACGGGACCCCTTCTGCTTTCTAAATGCACCTCTTAGGGAATGTAATGTGACACTCCCTGCCAGGCGCTCCTGACACAGGACAGTGGCCTGCCAGGAGTCCCCCACCCCGCTGCCGTCTTACCACCGCGTTGCGCTCCACTCTGGATCGGATCTGGTCGACTTTGCCTTCTATCACTCTGGGAAATATCGAGGAATCTGCTCCTTTGCAAAACAGATAAATTTCTCCTACAAAATGAGGAAAAGATTGCTTAATCACAACATGGGGAAGACTAAATTATTTTTCAAGTTATTCTATTATTAAAAAACAAAAAACAGGGACACCAGCACTGAAACCATTTTAAAGGAGATTTTAACGGACCAGTTAACATGTTAAAGTCAGGAAAAAATTAAATCTCCAGATTATCGCACAGCCTCATGCTATTCCTACAACCCTAGAAATCTCAGAGGAAAGCTGGGAACTGGGAGGAGTCCTGCCTCCCATCTCTTTGGCCTTCTCTCTGGCAAAGATTCGAACGAGGAAGAAAAGGTGCTTGGGACCGGGGCTGGGGTGTTGGGGGCTGGTGGTGCGTCGTAGGACAAAGGGCCTGTGGCTGACCCAAGGGGGTAACGATTTGCCAAAATCTGGAAGGTGGACGTGAAATGCCCTCTAGAAAGCGACATGTCCTGGTGCAGATGGAGATGTCGAGTCCTCTGTGGCATTAACAAGAGTCCTGGGGACAGCATTGGTGTAATTTTTCCCTCATGTTTCCGGTAACATCCGACCACTGGGAACACAGCTGTGCTGCAAATGCACGCTTCTCGTCCTCCAGGATAAGGTGCATCTCTTCCAGCTAAGTCAGGGGAGACACTCCAGCAGAAGGCAAAGCAGCAGCTTAAGAACACGAAGACACTAGCTCTGAGGCCACGCGCTCTGACACACAGGTGAGCACCCTTGGCCATGTGCATGCACCGGGACAGCCCAGCTCGTCTGCGTGGGGCTCAAGGAAGTGGCACCGCACTCCCTGCACCACGGTGGTGGCAGTTGGAGAAGGAAGCTCCAATGCCCAGCTCCCTGACCGGATGGATCCCCCCCACACTGAGGGCCCTCCGGAATTGTATTGGGCCAGGAACAGACAGGCAGTGTTGGGCACAGCCAGCTCCTTAGGCTGGGGTGTGAAGGGCACACACTGCTGGACTATGCCCATGGACTCGGGTGTGTCTCTGCAGCCCACCTGCCCTATCTCCTAGTCCCCAGGATGTACTAACTCCTGAGATATACAAACTGGACATGTCTGTAACATAGACATGACTCCCATATGCAGACACCCAGAACCAAGGTCAATGCCAAGCCATGGCCAGAAAGGACAGCACCTCATGGCACTGGTCCTGCAGGTCCACGGAGCCGAGCCGCTGGCTGGGCACAGGCCAGCAGAGAACTGGGCGTGGGAACAAGCCACGCTGAGCAGGAGTCACCTGAAGCTGGAGCAGCTGCCCCAGGAGACAGCTCCAGAAAACCAGTCTGTGACCAAGACTCTCAGCCACTTGCGGAAGAGTGGAGACTGGGGCCATCCCGACCAGCCTGATTCAGAGCCCGTTGCTGGCACCCCCGGGATTCCCAGCCAACACTCGCGTGTTCTCAGATGCAGCGTAGAGAGAGAACTGTAGTCCAGGTGGTGTCATGATGCACTCCTGAAGAGTGACATTCTTTTCCTAGAAAAATCATGTTCTATGGCTCCCGACACACGTCAGCGGTGTGTGTGTGTGAACGCCTTGACTTTCCCACGTCTCACCTTGCCGACTCCTCTGCACCTAGCGCAGGACATGCACACCTGCAGCCTCAGGACTCGCTCAGAGGGAGCCTTTGACGTAGAAATATCCAAGGATATGGCAGAACGCAGTCTGCAAAGAACGAGAGCAGACAGCGCTTGGCACCGGCGTTAAACCTGCTTTTCCAGTTTGTGAATCAGCGTAGAGACCTCCAGCAGCGCACAGCAGGGGCGTGATCAAGCACAGAGATCTGCCCCATGGACAGATGGCTGGGTGCTGGCGCTGTGCAGCTGTGGCTGGCCGTCCACGCCAGGACCAGGAAGCGCTCTCATGACACCGGGAGAAGAGTCAGTGATATAAAATGACATGGAAAGCCATGCACAACACAAGGTGTCCCAGAAATGGCCGTGTCCCGGTGGAAAAACAGGGATCACTCAAGCGGCTCCAAAAAAGCATAAAGTTACCACTTTCCTTTTTCCCTTCCTGAGTCAGGTATCACACATATTGATTACATCTCGCCCTGGGTGGGGTGAATATCAGCAAAGCGTGTCCCCGAAAAGTCAGATCCCGTGTCTCTCTTTACACAGGAGCACCCGAGGCAGACAGGGACAGGTCTTCCTGGAGTGGGGAGAGGCACCGTTGGGTGACCAGCTTCTCGCTGTTCAGGGCCGAGACCCGGCTCTGACGGCTGTGTCCCACCCTCCAGGGACGAGCCCCAGGAAGAAACGCAAGCTGTCGGCTGGCTGCAGTGGCTCCCGGCCCGTCTCCCCACCCAACAGGTGGTAAAATCAGCGCGATGAGAGTCCCTCTCCGGGAGGTACTAGGTCCACTTGGAGAACAACTTGCTTAATTAAATGTTGGCTGGCTGCAGTGGCTCCCGGCCCGTCTCCCCACCCAACAGGTGGTAAAATCAGCGCAATGAGAGTCCCTCTCCGGGAGGTACTAGGTCCACTTGGAGAACAACTTGCTTAATTAAATGTTCAAACTTCTCTTAAACTCACTGACGCGGTGGCTGGTTTCAGATGGCGTGGTAGTCCCCTCTCATAAGCATGCAGCGCCTCCGAGGGGCCCTAGGAAACTTGCAGACGTGCCCTTGGACGGGACGTGCTGACGGCGTGGTCCTCGGACCTACATTCTTATGTGATCCGGCTCCTCGTCTAGCTCCTCGAGGGTAACGGAGGTTATTTGTGGAGACTCCAGGTGCAGCCACAACATCAACACTGTGGTCTTCGTGGTTCAGATGCAGCCAAAGGCCATCCGTGAGGCACGGTGGGAGGTGGCTCAGTGGATGACAGACACGTTGCTTCCAAGGACTGTGGTCCTCACTGTGGGGCCATGGGCAGGGTCTTCACACACACCTCGGGTGTTCATGGGAAAAGTCACAAGACGACAAGGTGGACGAGGCATCTGGTGCCCCCTGATGCCTTTATCGGGGATGATCCTGAGTGGCTACACTCTCAGCACAGCCTCTCCCCAGTGCCAGGTACTGCGCCCTGCACTTGGGCAGGGCTTGTGACATCTGAACTTGTCCTCAGACACTGCCCCCCAATCCCACTGTCTGAGGGCGGCCCTCTTTTTCCATGTGTCGTGGGCCACACTCACGTGTGTCGTCTTATGTCCTATGACCTGCTCTTGTCCACAATGCCACTGCCTAGAGGTGATCCCGTTGGACTCAGGGGAACCGTGTGTGTAAGGAACCAGCTTGAGAGACAGGGCACTCACGGAGCAGCCATGGGCCCAGGTCAGGCTGCTTCTCTAGCACACGGAGCACAGATCCTCAAACAGCAGCTCACAGGATGTCACTCACAGGTAAGCCGTCTCACAGGGGTGCACCACAGGTAAGATGTGTCACAGGTGTATCCTCACAGGTAAGCCGTCTCACAGGTGCATCCTCACAGGTAAGCCATCTCACAAGGTGTATCCTCACAGGTAAGCCGTCTCACAGGTGTATCCTCACAGGTAAGCCATCTCACAGGTAAGTCACCTCACAGGTGCATCCTCACAAGTACGCCGTCTCACAGGTATATCCTCACAGGTAGGCTGTTGGCACCCTCATGGTCTTAGAAGAGACGAGGTACTGCTGGTCCCGATCAGAAGGTCAGAGCAGCTGGTGAAGAGCCTCCCCTTGTTTACTCCACGTTGAACTGGAGTGTGTCTGGTTCCAGGCAGTGGCTGCATTTGGCTGACTGCAAGGTGTCTTACCAAAGAGACAAATGTAGCCTGGTACTGTCTAGTTTAGGACAGCAGAGAATACTGTCTGGTTCCAGGCAGTGGCTGCATTTGGCTGACTGCCAGGTGTCTTACCAAAGAGACAAATGTAGCCTGGTACTGTCTAGTTTAGGACAGCAGAGAATAAGATGCCACTGCTAAAGCACGTGTAGTTACTGCAGGTAACGGTGTTCACTGAGTTCCGGGCAGCAGGCCGCGACGAGCGCAGCACTGAGAAATGCGTCGGTTCTGGGCTCAGGACGCTCACAGTCCAGCAGGGGCTGGAGACGAGCGATGACCCCAACACAGGGCGATGCCGGCGCGTAACCACGAAGCTGAGGACAGGGAAAGGCTGCCCAGCCAGGCGCTGTCGAGCTATCCTCAGAAAGGCCCAATGGGCGGGAGGGCTTTCCATGTGGACAAGACCACGCCAGGCAGGAGGACAGCCTGGGAGCCTGTGGGGGACGATAGCAATCTACTCTGTGACGCTGGGGACAAAAGCTGGGCAGGCAGGTGAGGAGCTGCTTCCTGACATGGTGAACCCCAAGTGAGAAGACGCTGTGGGGGCTGTGAGCACCTGGGTGCTCAGAAGACCAGGTGGCAGCAGGTGACTGGAGGGCAGAGAGAGGCAGGTGGGAGCCCTGGGAAGCAGTGGTGGTTGTGGGATAACTCCAAGCAGAAGTGGGTGGGGGACCATTGGAGACAGGACCTGCAGGCCATAGGTGACAGAGCCTTTGAGCCCTGGGTGCTGGGGGAGAAACAGAAGCCCCAAGTGGGCTATGGGTTTCAGAACCTGGGGCTCACGTGGGTGCTGGGTGGGACCACAGGGCAGGACGTCACTGCAGAGGTGGGCACTAAGTGGCGGGAGTCCCCTCAGGGAGAGGCTGAGGAAGGCTTGGTGGCACCTGCCTGGACAGGAGAGGGGCCGTGGCCATGAGGGAGCCCTCAGGACACAGACGGCCACAGGGCGAGTGAGGGGACCAGAGCCAGAAACCGTGATACACAAGGTGTGCACACAGAGGTGAGCAGGAACTCGCTGGTGTCAAAGGCAATGACCGTGCATGCCACACTGTTTACATTCTGAGGATCCTAAGCACAAACTAGAGTGCGATGTCCTCAAACAGAGACACATTGCCACGGCAACCAGCCAATGCACCCACTCACCTTACTTAGTATTTTGAACGTTGTTGTAGACATATTTGCAAACCCACGTTATCTTTTCCTAAAAAACGTTTATTTAAAAATACGATCTATGTTATTTGGATACACATAGAGAAAAGCAGTGGGGACTAGATGTATAATTTTCAATATTAAAATGATCCCAACTCGACTTCACGAGGAGGCACAAAGCGAGGGTGTTGTTTACCTGGCCCAGGACTTGTTCCTAAGCATTTAGAGAAAGGTCTACTTTTTTGTAATAAAAAAATTATTATTATGGAAGAATTTATCTATACTTCAAAAATAAAATCCTCAATCCTTAAAGCTCCTGAAGAATTCAGCCATCGGAATAGAAACACAATCACCGCGTATAAATAAAGAAATCGAGGAAAAAGGAAACTTCTACCTGTAGCAGATTTTACGATCACACTCATTCTCCTTCTTACTGAGTCAAAACTCAAGATTTCCAGCAATTCAAACCTAAAAGGAAACGTGAACAGCGTTAATGCCCACCTGGGTCTCCACACTATGAATTCTGGACCCGCCGGCCTTGCCGCAGCGGAGTGACGGGGCAGCCCTGTGGCACCCACAGCCACGGTGTCTGGACGTGGCGGTGGAGGGACGGCAGGGTGGGGCCCAGCTCACATAAACCATAAGAACTGCAAAGAACACTGAGACTTTAGGCAGCTTACGTGGTATTACCACGAGGAGACTGTAACAGTGCAGCAACCCCAGCACGACCTCTGGAAACGGCTCGTGGCTTAGGACTGGGGAGAAGTGCAGAAGGGGCTTCTGTGGCCCCGGGTCAGGCAGCACAGTGGTGTGTGCCTGAGTGTCAGCAGTGACCCCACCGCCTTCCCCACTGGAAACCAGAAGCCCTGACGGCACGTAAGTCACTGCCCTTCAGGGTGACCCTGGCCCCCGGCACTGCCGGGAAGAGCCAGCTGGGGACCTGGGAGCCACTCCTACTGTCCTGGGAGTTCAGTTTTGTTAAGAACGGGACTTTAAAAATCTAGCCTTTCTGAGGCCATCACCACCAAATCTTTTGCTCTTTACCACCTCTTTGTATCCATGACTGCACCCTCATGCCCATTTACAAAGGAGACACATGCCTGCCAGCCTCCCACATCAAAACTCAAGGCATGTCATTTGTCTCAGGGACAAGCAATGTGAGACTGAGACGGTCCCTGAAGTCTGAAAGTGTGTGGTCACTAAGGACGTGCAAAGTAAAACAATCGACACCAGGTCGGTTGCTCAAAAGCACAACTGTGAGACTGTTTCTGAGAGGACACTGTTCCGTGGCAGGAGGGCTGGCACCCTACAACACGGTTGCATGGCCTCCTCCAGACGGGCCTGGACAGGTCAGAACATTCTAGAAGGCTTGAGAACTCTTGCAGTGAAACCTGGTTTTAGGGGCGTAACCTGAAACATCTGATGATGAAACTGTTTTTCACTGAACACCAGTTTATATATCCAAGGCCAACAATCCACAGCTCTCCAGAATGTTCCAGTGACATTCTCGGGGTTGACAATGGAAGAAGGGGGAGCGAGTTGTGGGAGGAACAGAGAGAAGGTGCTCTTCCACAATGAGAAAGCTCGGTAAAGAGCACCCTGCGCTCACACCCGAGTTCACTGTGTGGTGCAACTCACCTCTCAACATCATTGTCCCTGTTTAGTATCTCCATGTAGTTGTCTTTCAGCCTCAGGTACGTAAACCCAAGTCTGCAAACGAGAAGGCAAATCTAGCGGTTAACTAATTTGAAATTCTGATATTCCTCTTTCATAGAATATTTCTGTTTTACATTTCAGTAAAGCTTTCTTTTCGAAACAGAAATACTTTCAGTAAAAGTTTGCAAACTGCATTATAAAGTCATGAAGTCATAATACTGAATTCATTCACCATCTCAAAAGATTCTCCAAGAACGACAGAATTCCCAGCTCGCCTGACCCTCCCAGCACAACAGTGACGCACATTCCTGCTGGTGTTCACGGTTTTCAGAGAGAGGTGTCAGTCACCGGACTGCAATCCCCATTTCTATTAACATTCTACTCACTGATGAGTGGGTTTTTTAGTTGTTGTTTAGTAGAGAGCAGAATGACAGAATAAGGGGACCCCTCGAGACTGTCTTTCTCAGGCCGACCTTCTCATTTTGCTGACGAGGAAACAGGCCCACAGCAGGCAGTTTCACCAGCGTGTGCAGAGCCCTGACCTGGGCAGCCCCTCCTTCTCCTCATCTGAGCTCAGTACCCTCCCAGGGCCACGTGAGCACCTGCTGGGTGCCAAGACAAACATGGTGTGACTCTGGACTCGCAGAGTTCACAGATGAACGTGGAGATGCGGGAGCTGTGGGGATGTGGGCAAAGGGTCTGCCTCCCCAGGCAGGAGCTGGCGGGCTGCAGAAAACGCTTTTCAGAAGTGGCGCATCTAAGAGGACGGGTCGGAACAACCAGTCCTAATGTCTAATATCTATGACCCAATGCGGTTTAATTCCTGAGCATGTTTTCCGAGTAGACATAACTCTAGCTGTGGGAAACCTCACCTGTGCAGGTGTGGGTTTATATACTAATAAAGGCCCAAAGTGGTATCATTTGCTTGTCTGTGCCACCATGCAAACCGCACAGGAAAAACAGTTGGTTTCCTCAACAATGAAAACGTTGCTTTAATTAGACAAGAGGTGTCAAAATGTTTTCCCTTCATTCAGTCCTTGAAGGCAACGTCCGGAAGTGAGGGGAGGAGATTTAGTACCCTTCGAGTTACATAAGAATTGTGAGCTGTGAGAATTTGAAAAAGGTTTCCCTGACTTGAAATCACGCCGTGCATCTGGAGCGCCTATGATGCCGTATCTCACGAGACAGCGAGAACTCCAGGCAGGAGATCTTCAGGGAGGTGCAAATAGCACAGTCAACACAATACGACATGAAGAAAATGCCGCTACCGTAAGAAAACCTCAGTGCCCAGCTTCAGCTTGCTCCACACTGGTCATTTTGGGGCAGTTGCTGACACCTGGGCCTCTGTTTTCTAAGCTGTTTGAGGAAGATTATGTTACAGCATGGATGGGATCATTTGCATCTTAAATGCCCCTGATTATTTGGAATGAGATGGTAGGAGGAAAACCACCCATAAAAAGAGTGACAAAGACCTTTCCCTGGGGACGAGCTGTGGCTTACCGCGAGGTGACACACCTCGAACAGGGTCAAGAGGAAGTCCGAGGCCGAGGCAGCCCTGCTACGCCCCACGCTGCAGCAGACACGCGAGGCACAGTGTGGCAGAGAAGGGGACGTTTCCTTCCAAGTGTGAGCCCAGGATCTGGGGCTGAAAAGGGACTGAGTCCAATGATGGGCACATGGCTCACACTCTGAAACCCAAACACAACTACAGCGCCGACCTACCTCTGTACGCCTTCGACGAGTGCCACCTCATCAGGAGAGGACGATATGTACACGCAGGATTTCCCTGAGTCCGGCGACTTCTGGGGGCCGTCTAAGTGTGAGCCCAGGATCTGGGGCTGAAAAGGGACTGAGTCCAATGATGGGCACATGGCTCACATTCTGAAACCCAAACACAACTACAGCGCCGACCTACCTCTGTACGCCTTCGACGAGTGCCACCTCGTCAGGAGAGGACGATATGTACACGCAGGATTTCCCTGAGTCCGGCGACTTCTGGGGGCCGTCCACGCTGTCCTCGTCATCTTTCACCTGCACAGTGTGGCAGAGACAGAGTGCCCGGAAAAACAGCTCCTCACGCTCCTGCAAAAATGCAGCCCAAGAGAACAATCTGTGGCATACGTGCTTAAAAATGGAAGGAAAAGAGGCAAAAGACGATAAACACGCAGGGGCGTCTGTCTGTACGCAGTGACGCGTGCCTTTCAGGAGGTTAGGGGTCCCAGCGCTGCCTTTGCTGGTTACAGAGCAGCAGCCTCTGTGTGTACTCGTCCTCCTCGAGTACTTCTATGGTAATTAATGTTAACATTAGTGGCTGGTGGAGACTGAACGATGTGGCGGTTCATGCGGAAGTGATACTTTTAGAAACTGAAGAGCCATCACTTGGAGCATGCTCAAAAGTGACGAACACCACTCAGTGTTTGGGAAAGTAATTGTGAAGGAGTCACACACGTGCAGTAAACACAGACGTTCACACACGGCCTGCACTCAGCTGCACCGCTGCCCCTGGTAGCGACATTGTCCTAACAACAGCCTGTATCACACTAGATGTGACCCTCAGAGCACCTGCATGCATGTACATCGCAAAATTCAATATTAAAACAACCTATGCAGCAGGAGCTATTCCCCGACTCTGCAGCTGCAGAAATGAAAGTTTAGGAAGGTGAGGTGATGGGTCAAGGTCAAAGCAGGCCGACTCGGACCCCAGTGCTGCTGTGGAATGCAGCTGCCATCGCTGGATGCTCACTGCAGTCCCCGGGAGATTCCTGGGAATTCCAAGTGCAGCTGAGGCGGAGGAGCCCTGCTGTGAAGCTCCAGGAAGGGTGCGATTGATACCAGATGTATGTGTGCCTGTGCACGTGCTTGAGTGCGTGCAGACTGGTTTCATGCCTGTGCACGTGTGTGAGCGTGTGCAGACTGGGCGTGAGCGCCTGTGCACGTGCGTGAGTGTGTGCAGAAGACTGTGTGTGTGCACGTGTGGGTGTGTGCACGCACAGGGGCTGTGCACACTCACTCTACTTGTGGCACACCGTTTGCCCTGCTTTTCCAGATTTTTATATTTGATTCTAATGGGGACATCACTGACTAGACTCACCCTGTGGGGAGCCTGGAACACGCTGTGTACCTGACCATTCCTCGCGTTGAGGCCCCTAGAGGTCCCTGCCCTTCCTGGACACCCCGAAGGCGAGGGGCCATGTGCCACAGCTGCCTCCCCCATGCGCACCTGCTGCTGCCGCACATGCACACTCACCCTCGCGGGCAGCTGCCACCTACCCTGCTGCTGACGCCCGGGGAGGAGTCGATCATGTCGATGCCCGAGGCGTTTGGCAGGACCTGCCCATTGCAGACGATGTGCGGCACGTAGACGTGGCCCTCGATGCAGCACTCCTTGAACTCCATGTTGTTCTCTGTGAGTGTGCCCGTCTTGTCCGTGAAGACGTACTCCACCTGCGGTGCGGCAAGCTGGTGAGGGGCGCTGGGGCTGCCGGCCCAGATTCACAGCCTCCGTCGGGACTTAACACAGATGGGTTCCTAAAGGTTCACCGAGACCCAGCACTTCCCAGGCGGAGCTACGAGGGGTGCCTGCTCCACCCTCCCTCGCGCTGGAGCCTCGCAGGATCTGCAGTCCCCAGAGATGTGACGGGGGTGGCCCTGGCTATCCTCACACCAGTGACAATTTCACGTTTCTCTGAATGTGAAGCATGAAGGGGCGTGGGCTCCTGGCCCCACGATGGAGGCACTGGACGAGCCAGGGCGCCATTTGTTTGGGAAGAAAGAGATGGGGAGAGAGGTCCTGAATCTCATTTAACAGTAAAAAATCAAGTCTACAGATAGGATGAACTCATTCTATACAATCTTGGAGGTCAGAACTCACCATACCACATGAGGTTCAGAAGCAAAACCCCAACAGATAAACAGAAAAATTTCAGAAAGAAAACATGACAAGTGTCAAAGATACAACTAGTTTTAAACCCCAAATTTAGGTGAACTCAGAGGTTATGTATTCACTGTGAATAACTGAAAAAACGCAGGACATTCTGGAATGTGCCGTAAGACCCTGAGCTTGGCATCGGGCATGCATGGACCTCCCCCAGCCCAAGGCTGGTGGCCCATGGAGTGAGGGTCTGGCACACATCCCCAGAACACAGCAAGGTGAGCTGGAGTGCAGAGTGAGCACAATGTGCAGACAGGGAAGCAGGGACCACCCCTGACAAACCAGCCGGGTGGTCCCAGTGCACCTGCCCCACCTAGGTCCTTAGGGAATAGCTTCTTATAAACCCCACAGCAGAAAATGCCTTTTCCATTGCGTGCCTGGTTTTAACTAATAAACTATAAACACAAAGTGATATTGTCCTGAAAATACATTAAAAAAAACAAAACAAAAACTGCCACGCGAAAGCTTGCCCAAAATCCAGCAGAGCCTCTTCTTGGGATGGCATGAGTGGCCTGAAGGAGACCAAGTCTGCGCTCCGACCGCTCCCCGGCACAGATGGCTTAGAGCGAGGGAAGCCACAGTCATGTGAAGCTTCAATTGCCGTCTCCTTAAATGAGCCTGGCACAGATGCCCCGACGCCCGCCTTACACTTTCTGGACTCACTCTGAGTCAGACGAAGGAACATTTGATAAATCACTGCACACCTTCCTTGCTGTGGATTTTGATATAACTTAGACTATGATATTATTAAACCCTAAAACCATTTTTTAAAAGGGTAAAGTAGATTAAAAAAAAAAACAATTGTTAAATTTATTTACTCGCTTAGCTATAGCCAAATGAGTGATGTATTTCTAGGAACTGTGACCATGACAACTAATGATAATAAGATAATTATAATAGACATTCACCACGCCTTTAGCATGTGCCCAGCACTGGGCACCACCTCACTTAATCCTCACGTCAACTATGCTATACCCCAGTTTCACAGACAAGACAACAAAGGCTTAAAATCTCCAGACACTAATCCAATAGGTTCCGTTAACCCGGGAGGCCAAGAGAACACTGTTTCATTACTGCGACACAAGTTTACGGAGGTCTCGGACCTACTTTTCAGATAGGTCACTGTTAATGTATAGAATGCTACGGATTTCTGCAGGCTGACTTTGTATTCTGCAAGTTTACTGAATTCACGCATTGGTTCTAACAGTTTTCTGGTGGAGTCTTTACGGTTTTCTCCATATAAGATTGCGTCATCTGAAAACAGAGACAACTTGACTTCTTCCTTCACGATCTGGATGCCCTTTATTTCCTCCTCTTGCCTGACTGCTCTGGCCAGGACTTGCAGTACCATGTTGAACAGGAGCAGCCAGAGGGGCACCCTCGTCCTGTTCCTGATCTCAGAGGCAAAGCTTCCAGCTGCTCTCCACGGAGTCCTATTGTCCATGGCCTTGATTATGCTGAGACACACTCCTTATGGACCTACCTGGCTGAGAGGTTTTAATCATGAAGGACGCTGCATGTTGCTGAAAGCCTCTTCTGCACCTGCTGATGATCGATCGTACTGTCTTGTTCTTTGTTATGTTAATGTGATGTATCACATTTACTGATTGCATAGGCCGAACCATCCTGGCATCCAAGGACAAACCCCACTTGGTTATTATGGTGAATGCTCTTTTCAATGTGCTGTTGAGTTTGGTCTGCTAGTTTTTTGTTGAGGATTTCTGCATCTACGTTCATGAGAGATATTGGCCCATGATTTTCCTTTCTTGTAGTGAGACTGCCAACCCTCAGTCAAATGCCAACCCCAGCTGCTCTCATCCTCAGCTACCAGAACAACGGACAGTTGTCATCGCAGCACGTATGCAGTCTGCCTGCTCAGCTCAGCTGAAAGCACAACACATTTGAACAGACTAAAGTTCAGGAGGCAGTGCTGACCCTCAGAGGTACAGCTTTCTGAGCCTCAGTTTCTCACCTGAGAGATGGAGAGGATCGTTCTGACCTCCCAGGACGTGGACAGGACCCATGAGAAATGTGCACGAAGCGATTAGCACCATATCTCACTAGAAGGGGCTGGGGACAGAGACACCTGAGCAGTGGATGAGTTTCTGTGTCACGTACAAAAGAGCTCAGCTTATCTTTCTGCATACATGACAGAGGGTATCCACGTTCCTCCACACAGACCTGGTAGCCAGATGAAACCTTATATTCTGGGCTTGCCCCTCAGTCCTGACATGGTGGGTCCCCAGCTTAGCCACAATATGGACTGCTCTGTGTCCAGGGGAGTGGGTTAGCCTCCTGGCTGGAGCCTAGTTTCGGTCAGCAAGGAACACCTGTAACACCTAGATGGACTGGAAGTCCCCTGGGCTGCCAAGCCAGAAAGTGGGGAGGGCCAGGGGCCTCAGCCATGCCCCCCAACACCTGCAACCAGTCCCGAGTGCGGGGGCCTCGGGCCTCGGCCATAGCATCCGACGCAACCAGCCCAGTGACAACCACTGAGCCACCACAGGAAACACTGCGGGCTCTCCCAAGCTGGGGCGGTGGGGGTCGAAGGGCTTCAGCTACATCCCCCCAACACGTGCAACCAGCACAGCAACAACCACTGAGCTGCAGCAAGAAGGGCCCCGGGTTCCCAAGATGGGGTCGTGGGGAATGAGGGCTTTTGCCACAGCCCCCTGACATCTGCACCCAGCCCAGCAATGACCAAGCCACTGCCAGAAGCCCCCCAGTCTCCCCTGTGAGAATGAGGGGATGCCACAGGCTTCAGTCCCACCCCTGCTCTTTCCTCCATCACATTTCCTTCCCCTTTGCCCTCCCCACTTCCCCCCAACTGCTCTGCAACATCATAGAATGTAAAAAAAAATTATTTAAAAAATAAGTAAATAAAAAAAGAAAAGAAAAGAAATCAAATCCTGTTAGGACGGAGTCTGGGGAGATGGCCTGGGTGGGGGAAGAGCAGAAATGTGCTGCTCTGAAATCTGCTTGACCTTTTTCTTGTTATGGAAAAACATTCTTTCCCAGTGAATTTTTTAGGAATACATAAACCATACCATGCATCATTGTAAAGTACACAAGATGCTCTAAGTTTCTACCTGAGCTGGTAAATTACAATCTCTGTGTTGCTGACTGAACGATCAGCTGCCATGAGGGGTGTGGGACATTCTGCAGGGACGCATTACAAAAGTCAGACTCACTAACCCACAACCCCTCGGGAGCCCGACAGAGGCCGCGTGTCCCCGTCAGAGTCCGGGTCTGTCTACAGACTGCTGTTGGGGCAGTGATGGGGTGGATGTCAGCTGCCAGTCTACAAGGGCCCTGTGTGCAAAGCCACCCATCAAAATGTCTTCCTGTTTAAAAAAGCTGAAGAATTACTGTTTACAAGATGTTCTCCCTGGCAACAGAAAGGCTGGGAAAGGGCTAGACCGGAGGTGGCAAGGACGCTGCCCTGCAGCCCGGGCGAAGCTGCAGGAACCAGGCCCCCCTGAGTTGTCCTCTGCAGGGCAGCGGCTGAGGGTCTGAAGGCCAGCGGGTCGGCTGTGCCCCTCAGGGAGGTTGGGCAGGGGAACCCTGGCCCTGGGCAGCAGTCACTTCCACCTGTGGCAGTCACACCAGATGCTGTGATAACACCTCACGTCCATGATCTCGTCTGAGCCACACTACGGCCTCGCCAGGCAGGAAGCTGCACTCATCCCCATCTCACAGATCAAGAAGCTTGAGGTGGGAAGGGAGGACCTGCCCCAGCATGCACACTGGTCTCTGCTCAGTAGGGCTTGGATGTGGCCGTTTGAATCTTTGCAACACACCACGTCACTGAAATGCTCTTGAGTGTTGGTTTGCTCATCTCTAAAGTGAAGACAACTAGCTGGCTGTGAGAATTAAGTATCACGTGTTTAATTTACAAAGCAAGGTACAAGGCCTACCAAGCAGGCACTCAGTGAACGGCACCTCCTTTCACCCCGTCAGCCCTCAATTCACACCACTACAACCCAGAGCGAGCACCCCAGAAAGTCCACGGATGAGTTCATGTGATTAATTCTGTGTAAGTTATAATATGAAAGCACTAACAATCGTTACGTCATTGAAGTTTACAAAACAACGCTGCCATTCGGACGATCCCCACCAACCATGGCACGGCTCACTGGAAACTGGATGCCTGGAACAGAAAGTGACCGACTCAGGTGACAGTGAGCCACGGAGGACAGCAGGAGACACTGACCTGCCCTAATTCTTCATTCAGATCCGAGGTGTTCACCACAGGTCCTTCCCCCGTTTCCTCGTCAAACATGTCTTCGTCCCAGGTGATGAAGTAGGAGCCAAGGAACTTCTGCATCTCGACAGTGACGTACATGGACACGGGGATGATGTAGTTGAAGAGGACCATGAAGGCCAGGAAGTCGGTGAAGGCTCTGAGGAACTGGGAGAAGCCAGGCGCCGCATCAGCGGAGTCACACCATGAGCAACAAAAACCTTAAACTTAGGCAGATGTCACAGAAGCCCCGCTGTCAAGTACAAGATTTCAAAACCCACACCTAAGGGTGATTCCACAGTGGTACACCTGTCAGCTAATCAGCCTGTCAGCTGACTTCTGGTTTGCACACGGCCCTGCTGTGTTTTCAGTGGACACGGGTCTGTGTTTTACACATGGCCCTGCTGTGTTTTCAGCGGACACGGGACTGTGTTTTGCACATGGCCCTGTCCTGTTTTCAGTGGACATAGGTCTGTGTTTTGCACATGGCCCTGCTGTGTTTTCAGTGGACATGGGTCTGGTTTGCACACGGCCCTGCTGTGTTTTCAGTGGACATGGGTCTGGTTTGCGCAAGGCCCTGCTGTGTTTTCAGTGGACACGGGTCTGTGTTTGGCACATGGCCCTGCTGTGTTTTCAGTGGACACCCATCTGGGTTTGTACATTGCTCTTCTCTGCTCTCAGTGTATAGGGTCTGGTTTGCACACGGCCCTGTCCTGTTTTCAGTGGACATAGGTCTGTGTTTTGCACATGGCCCTGCTGTGTTTTCAGTGGACATGGGTCTGGTTTGCGCAAGGCCCTGCTGTGTTTTCAGTGGACACGGGTCTGTGTTTTGCACACGGCCCTGCTGTGTTTTCAGTGGACACGGGTCTGTGTTTTGCACACGGCCCTGCTGTGTTTTCAGTGGACACGGGTCTGGTTTGCACACGGCCCCGCTGTGGTTTC